AGTCTCATTTGGCAGGAGAAGATTCCCCAGGGGACGGCACGCTGTCATTTTTCAGGGCCCCAGCAAAGAAAGCTCCACACAAGACATCAGCACGTCTGCCTGATACATGGTAAGCCCGCTTCACTTATTATGGCCAAAGCCAGATATTTTAATTAAAAACACTACATCTGCCATTAAATGGATTGTTCCCCCTCCAGTTGTGAGGAGATACAAACAAGTGAATGCAAGGCAGATGTGCGCACAAAAACATGGCCTACTGAGTCACAACCAGTGGTTCCCGAGATCCCCTCCCTGGGCAAACACTCCTCGCAAACAAACCCCATTCCCTCTGTGATTTTCACAGGTCTGGCAGTTGTCATGGAGGAGGAAGACAGCAGGGAAAGCAGCCCATAATACCACCTCCCTTAATTTATGGACAGAGCCTATTTTTTCACAGATAACCCTCATGATAAATAAAAAAGTCTACAGCCATCCACAGGACTCTGCTGCCTGGCTTGTTTGCCTTTTGCCCCTTGTTTATTTTCTTACTTACTTTTGAGCGCAAAAGTAACATCCTGGGAGTAATCGTATTGCCAATGAGAGCACACATAGGTAGGAACCTCAGGAGAGGCGCAGTTGGCTTCATTTAAGCCGTAGATGGCTCCAGTGCAAAAGAATTTCAGCCAATTTCCAGTGTCACTAGCCAAAGTACCTTTCTTCCCAGGCTAGTGCTAGCAGCTGGGTTTCATTTTTGCCTACCAGGCGATCCTTACCACTGCGAGCCTCCCCTTTATGGATTTTATTCAAGGTGACAGCTCTTCACACAGTGGCCCTCACCTCAGGTCACCAGGCTATCATTGGAGGACGAGGGAGTGCCTTCCTGTGGAGTCCAAACTTAAATGGATTGAGGTTATCCTAAGGCCCTGACCCCACTATTCTTACAGAGGAAGGGGTGTTGAGAACTTCTCAGCTGCAGTGAGTTGTAGAGAGGAAGGCGGAGAGATAGAAAGTTGTGGTTCTACAGGAACAGGAGGAGAAGACCTGCCTGATGGGGAGTGGTGTCAGCTTGAGTTAGAGAGGAAGGCAGTGTTACAGTGTCCTTGGCATAATATGGCACTGGTATCTCTTGTCAGTATCTCTGTTTTCTGTCACTGCACACAATCCTGGGCCTGTCTCTAGTCCTGACAGTGTCTTTTCAGATCGGGTTATTGCCAGCCCAGAGACCAACTCAGCTCCCCAGCACACAGCCCCTTTGTTTGAAGTCTGCCCTTCTGTCATTAATGCACTTGATGTCTATTTAAATCTGACAGTGAGTGCGGTATCTCTTTTCCCGTCAAGAGATCATTGACAATATTAATACCTCATGTCCTTGCCTCATTTTCCAAGCACTGACACCCAGCCACAGTCTCTTGCATCCATCAAACAGCCCTCTCTCACCAGGATGTCTATAAACATTCTTGCTTCTGAGCCCAAAGAAACAGGGCAGGACATAAAAAGGACTTTTATCAATGCCAACCAGAAAGAAGGTCTGGGAATGTGGCTCAGAGCACATCCCAGCTCACATTCCAGGAGTTCTGTTCCCATCTGGTTATATCTAGGGAAAAATCCAGAGTGGAAGTTCACCATGGAGAGAGGGGAGAGAAAAGAAATTGCATGTGTGGATGCATGGAGAGTTTCCTGGAGAAGAGTGTGGCCATGATGGGGGAGGGGCTACTGTGCACATGCGCGCACGCACACACACACCTGCCTGTTATACTTTTGCTCAAGAGAAAGACTATTTACAATATCCATAACTCTTCATAAAAATCACAATGCTAACGATGCATTGTACTCATAAGTTGATATGTTGAATCGAAACTTCTTTGTAAAACTACTTAAAGACAATAATATTTAATTCATTTTAGCCTGTTGCCTTAAAATGAAATCAGTGCTCTCTGGCCCCATCTTTCTAGACTATTGAGCATTTCTTTAGGTCAGTTAAATGTAAGGCAGCCCCCCCCTGCAAATGTTCCCACTCCCCGTGAGGTATTCCTACCCAGGCCCATGGAGATTGCCATAGCCTGACCAGCTCAGACCTCTAGAATCCTGGCATATTAGCACAATACTAAACAACACATAATGTAGCACAATAAAGGGACCAGCTCAAGTGCCAAGAGCTAAGAGAATAACTTAAGCTTTGAGAACGTCTCAGTGAGGTTTCATCCAAGCTCAGTATTTCCAGGCAGCAGACCAACATTAAAAACCAGAAACGGGATAAGAAGCCAAGGGTAAAGCAAGAACAATTGGGAAGAATGATCCATGGGAAAGTTGTTTGTGGGAACACGGCAGGAAGTACCGAGAACCCACCATGCCACCATGTCACCCCATCCCTCTTCCAGCCCTAAAATATCCTGAGACATCCCCCCCGCAACATCCAAATTTGTCCCAAGCTAGGGAACATCTGTCCTGTACTTAAAAGGTTTAATGAGTCACTTGAATCTTTCAAGAACAAAGCTGAGAGCTCTGTAATAGAGAAGCATCTCTTTTATAGTCACAAAAATATTTACTACTCACAAAGTCAGAGGGGAAGGCCCTGGCTAATTTCAAGTCTAATTTGTCTACGATTAATGAAGAATTGTGTTATGGTGCTTGTTGACTTTACACTACCCCCCACCTCCACCTCACCCCCTCAAAAAAACATGCATATATGCAACTGTTTTCATAGGCAGGTTTGTGGCTCATGAATTTCTCTGTTCTGGGCATCTCCTTTGGGTTTTTTCCCCCCTTGTTGTGAACATTTCAGAGGTCTCATTAGTGCTGAGACAACTGTGCGTGACAGTATTTTGTTAGATCTTCTAAATGGAGGTAGCTTTTTTTCTTCGAAAAAGAAAAGGTGACAAAAGCAAAATGAAGTTATACATATTTTCTTAGAAAATTTTGATTTTCTTTTCCTTAATAATCTCACAAGATTTCACCAGAACCATGGCAGGTTGAGTATTTAGAATTTAAAAAAAAAATGAGTTGATTTAAAAGTTTGACCCTAATCTAGGAAGTGCTTACACCATTAAGAATCACAAAAGTGACAAGCAGCACATGTTTACTTGCATATGTGGAAGCTAGATCTAAAATGCAAGGCATATACAGGGCTCTGAGCATTTACTTACAAACAGTAAAGGATGGTATAATGGTATACTCTGGGGGTGTGTGTATGTGGAATCCAAAGGCATGATTCCAGAACAGCTAAAGTACTGTTTATCAAAATGAATACCAAGAAGTAGAAACGTTTTTTGGGGAGTGGTACAGGAATGGAGGAAGGGTGAACGCATGCAGTCATTATATTTAACATACATTGTGTGAACAAAGAAACCACAGTAGGAACAGGATGGGGGGCAGAAGGGTGGCATTCACCGAGAGGCCTTGTAACTCATAACCTGATTTATGGAATTGTCACCCCTTTACACAACTACTTAATAATAAACATGCAAAAAAAGCATAAAAACTCTTTTTAAATGAGAGGAAAGTTAAGCGAAATGAACCCCAAGATAAGGACACAAGTGGTTTTTTCTTTCTTGCTATTGTTTCTAATGTATTTCTAATGGACCGTGTGATTTTTTGTTTCTTTGTATGTTCCTCCCCCCACGGTATAATCCCTGTTTTCACTGTATTTGATGTTGGTGCCTTGCATCTTGTTTATACACTTTTCTTGCTTAAATAGGGATACAGATTGACCAATTGTAACAATGAGATGCACAAGACAGTATGTTGAAAAACGAACTTTACAATTTAGGCCGGGGTGGGGATGGGGTGGGGGTGGGGGTGGGGGTGGGGGAGGGAGGGCCATCTGGGTGGAGGGTGAGGAGTGTAGTTGTGGAGGTGGGAGGGAAGGGATGATGGGGGAAAACAAAAGAGGAGGTAACAATGCTTGATAGGAAATGTACTACTCATTACCTTGCTCATATAATTGTAACCCCTCTGTACAGTATTTTTACAATAAAAAATGTATAAAAATAAATAAATGAGAGGAAAGCTTTCTGCAGACAAATGACATAAAGCCAAACTGAAGATACAAGTCCAATGTATCAAAACAGGACAAGTGCTCTCCAGAAGCTCTGTAAGAAGAGAGTTTCTGGTGTCAGAAGCTCTTGTTTCATTCATATGTGCTTGATACCCTCCAGGCTCTGCAAGATTCTCTCTAGGAGTTAAGAAGGTCCACTCACAACTTCAACAAAACACTCACACTCTGGGAAGATGATTCTACATCTTTCATTTGGGACGGAGACATCTTTGATTTTCTGTTCTTAGAAACTCTGCCAATAATTCTGGAAAGTGAGGGTCATGCTGTAATCTTTTGCCAAATATCGGGGGAACTTCCCTAAAATGGGGGAACCATTCAGAGAGGATGTTATTGTTGGGAAGCCAGCACTGAGTGATGCAGGTCAAAGATGAGGACAAGAAGGTAGAGTTAGGGGCTGGGAAGGTGGCTCAGTGGTAGAGCGCTTGCCTTGCATGCTCGAGGCCCTGGGTTTGATTCCTCAGCACCACATAAGCAGAAAGAAAAAAGCCGGAAGTGGCGCTGTGGCTGAAGTGGTAGAGTGCTAGCCTTGAGCTGAAGAGCTGAGGGACAGCGCCCAGGCCCAGAGTTCAGGCCCCATGACCGGACCAAAAAAAAAAAGAAGGTAGAGTTAGGCTGGGCACTGGTGCTCATACCTGTAATCTTAGCTACTCAGAAGGTTGAGATCTGAGGATCTTGGTTCTTTACCACCTTAGGTGAAAAAGTCAATGTGACTCTTACCTCCAATTGACAAGCAAAAAGCCAGGCATGGAGGTGTGGCTCAAGAATCAAGTCCTAGTAACTGTACATACACACACACGCACATGCACACGCACACGCACACACACACACACACACACACACACACACACACACACACACACACAGATGTAGAGTCATTGTCTTTTGCCCCCACTGGATCTGTTTTACAGCACCTACATTTCAGGAATACACTGACTGAGCCACCTGTAACAATGTTTCTCTTTTCCAGGTGTCCTGGGCAAGTATCGCTATGTTTATTATGGGAAGAACTCAGAGGGCAACAGGTTTATCCGTGATGACCAGCTGTGAAGCGCAGTTCTGTAAGCCTCAGCCTATATCATGAAAATTAAGGGGAAAGCAAAAATAAAGGAAGAGCTAAAGAAAAACAACAGTCCACATTGCATCTCTGTGGGAAGGCTACAATTTCAGCTTTCCATATACCTTGTGCTGACTTTGCCAGGCCTGTCAAGATCATCCTGCTGCTTTAGACTGAGTGGTCACAGAGAGATTGACATGATTGCCCTTAAGCAGGGCTCATCCACTGGGGTGACAGACAGCGTCGTCTAAGCACCGGGGCTGACAGCATGAACACCATGATCGATTGCCTGGTCCCTCCACTGCTTACAGGAGAGCAGAGGTCACACCTGGGGCCTCACTGGGCATGCTCAGTGACTCCAGCCTTGTGAAGGGGCAAGCAGGGGGGGCTGCCTGCAGCTAGCCTGACTGAGCCAGGATTCCTCTGCTGTCCCTGTGCTGTGGGTTTATTTTTAGTGCGATGGCCAGAGTATAAAGGAAGGACACTTTCCCAAGGTCCCCTTCTGCACACACACCAGTCTCCTCCATCCTTCAGTATTTTGATGCTTTGTAGATTTACAGAGAAAAGAAGGGGTAACTTCCCAACTAGCTCATACATTTATGGCTGGCTTCGTGTTTTTACAATCCCCACTGTAGACTCACTTCACCTAAATCCCTCCCTGCAAAAGCCCAGGCATTATCCTCTTCGATCCACTTCCAAATCTACCTGCCCTGAACACGATGCGGGGCAAGCTGCCTCTCACAACTCAGGATTTGGTTTGCACCATGCAACCTTACTCAGTATTGAAGGCACACACCCTTGCCTGCTCTGCCTATAGCCACAGTTACACTTGGGGCTTGCTTATTTGGGTACAATTTTCAAGTAGTGAGGTGATGAAAGATAGAGTGTGAGGGCTCTGGAGGTTGAAGCACAAAATGAAGCCTGTAGAAAATACCCATCCAATCAAATCCAAATTTCCTATTTCTTCTCCGGACCTCTCAGAAATCAGATCCATAGCTTCCAAAACATTGGTACATCATTTTCTTGGGATTTTTAGCACAAACATCACCAAAAAAAAGACTACTACACCCTCGCACTAGTTGCGTGACTCTCACTTCATTTAACTTAACTGGTGCACAAAGCAAGTCTCTCTGCAAGATATTTGAAAGGCTATGTGCTTGCCTTTAACACAAAGCATTTATCTGTTTGTGTCATGAGTCCTGTATTTAGGCCAGGTGTTCATTGTTCTGGGTTGCCTAGAATTAGGACCGCAAAGCCTGAAGAAATTCCCTGCAAGAACAGTTAAGGGAATGACCAGAAACTGGTTGTTGTCAAAGTCTGTGAGCACTCTGCACACCTGAGCTACTTGGAGCCAGGTCACACAGCCTCTAGCCTACTCAGTCAGCACAACCCTGAATGACATCTATCAGGGCTGCCAGGAGTTCCATGCACAGGTCCTGCAACCTCTATTAATCAGCTCTTCAGAAACATTCACATTAAAATCCTCAAAACCACTAATAATCAGGGATTATCCAACAGTGTCCTTCATCTCTCCAACCCACTCACAACAAGAGTGGATACCTGTGCAGTATTTCACCTACAAAAATCAGCTCTAGGATAATGCTGGAAATTAGCTGTGTCAGGACCCACCCTGGCTCTTTGTTGGGAAGTTTCAATGCCTGTTTTGTCCGTGGCATCTAATAGGCAGCAGAGCTCAGCACAAGGGCAGCTAGACCAGGCCGATGTCATATCCAATCTAGCGGCCCATATATCCTTGTCTTTATAAAAGGCTTTAACCCTGCCTCAAACAATAAAAAAGCACTTGTGAACTGACCACAGGATTTTTCCATCTTTATTTTTCTTTCTTGTTTACTTTTCTTAATGTCAGATCCATTTGTATCGTGCGAAGGAATGTCTCTCTCAATGTGAGCTTTGAAAACAAAAAAAAATATGCATACATATTTGGAGCAAGTTATTGACTGCATTGTTTGCCTCTCTTTGGCTTGTTTATCTGCTTCCAGAATGGTATAATAACTTTAATGAAGATTAGCTTTAATTATAATTCACGTAAAGGCCATCACAGTGGTATATTCATCTTATTGATAAAATTAGAGTGAGTTTGGATTCTCTTAAGCAAAAATAATGATAATGAATTATTGCTGGGTTGTTTACAACTCCACTGTTTGTTAAGCAAGATCTGCCATAAAACAGACACTTTTGTCGGAATTGGCAGGGCAGGAAGCCAGGTCTCAGGTTTATCTTAAATCTGTAGGAATTTCACAAATCTAGGAAAATAGAAGGTAATACATTCAATTGGAGCTGAGGCATGTTTCCTACCTTTACCCTCCTTTTTTCCCCTTTCTCCTATCCCTCTGACCTTGTTCTTTTTTTTTTTTTTTTTTGCTTATGTGGTGCTGAGAAATCGAACCCAGGGGCTCAGGCATGCAAGGCAAGCGCTCTACCACTGAACCACCTTCCCAGCCCTTCTGACCTTGTTCTTTAGGGACCATAGTGCCTGACATCGCCATCTCCCCTCTCTCAGCAGAATGATCCCCACAATACGATACACGCACTCTCGAGTTCTCAGCAATGTCAGGGTGACGATCTCTCTTCTAAGTAACATAATTTTATAGAACAATTTGTTCCTTGGGGAATAATGTCTTAGAATGTGGAGAATCCTATTAAAAAGTACAACTATTGCAATCATTTGCTTTTACTTTTACCAGCTTTGCTCATAAACCCTCCATCTGTTTGTTGCTTTAAATAGAAGCACATTAGGAGAGATTATCACTCTATCAGACTGTGTGTCTCTGTGTTGTGTGTTTTCACGTATTCATGTACACTAAGGATAAAAGACAGCAAACTACAAATTCTAGATGAAAATAGAGAGAAAATAAGTGTGTGTGTGTGTGTGTGTGTGTGCGCGCGCGCGCGCGTGCACACACTTGCATGTGTTACCAGCAGAGTTTTTTTACACATTTTCAGGGGATAATGTCCTTCTTACTCTTTCTAAGAAATAACCTAGCCAGGTTATTTTTGTTAATATACAGATCTAAAACAATCCACAGGGTTCTTTTCATCAAAACATCAAGAGTTTTCAGAACTTGCCACTCACCAGAACAGGCTTAAGTCAGAGAGATTGTGTTACAGAGAGAACAAAGCAAGGCTCACTAAGACTCCTCTGTGCTGATGTCCATGGAGGCCAATCCAATGTGACCCTTAGTACCTGAGAATTCCACTTTCCTTTCCAAGAAGCCATCGCCAAAGAAGAGTGCTACCATGACTTGGTTTGAGTCTTTGATTTGTTCAAACACCATACTGTAACCTACTCTAAGTAAAAAAAAGGAAAATGAGCCTAGAGGAGCACAAAGCATGCTGTTCACCTGTTTGTGTACAAACCAAGCTATTGGCCCTTAGTACCATTCCCAGTGTTACCTCTAATGAATCAGCTGCCACTCTTTAGGCTTGGAGAACATTATGGCACAACCCTTTGTCTAAAAAATATTGTTCTTCTACACATTGACCTGAAATTTCCCAGCATTGGTAGTTCTCCCTGGCGAAGCTATAATCTAAATGTTAATTTAATGTTTTGTGATAGGATAGAAAAATATGTATAATGTATTCACAGATTCGCATGTGCCAATTCTTCCACATAGCACAGGGTACTGTACTAAGAAAGGGGGGGTTAAGTATAGAATGTGCATGGTGAAGAGTTGCTACAAGGATCATGTAATGGGATTGCGTCCTGGAAGAAGCAAAGTTGAAGTGTGGAGTTTTTAGTCGCTACACTGGGACTGAGAAGATAATAAGAAACGAAGAGAGGAGCCAATTTTCTGCCAATCACAATGGTTCTTATGATATTCAGGACTAAGTGATGTTTAGGAAGACTTTTCAGAACAGAACCTTTTTTATGTACAAATGAGTCCTGCCACACATGAACATGTCACGTTTCTCTGCCCAGGACAGTGGCGCAAGTGAGACAGATGAATGGCAAAGCATTATGGGAAAACATGACTTTATATATAATGGCTACACCTGGGCACAAATGGCTACAGCTCATGCCTAATCTTGCATAGAAACCAGCATCTTAAGGTAACTTCTCCAGCTGCTGGAGTGGCTAAGAGATAAAGAGAAGACTTAAAGTCAGGGCAGTAAAATCAAAGAGTAGGCTCATGTCCCTGAAAAGCCTTCATAAAAGTCATTAGGTTTAGAGATAGGTGGACACCTTAACAAGGCAATTCAAAAAACAAAGATATTTAAGGAAAAAAACAACATGACTTCTATATAGGGCTGAAGATGCTGAGGATGGATTTGACTCTATGTTCCAGGCAGAAAATGATAGGAAATCACAGGAGGTATGGATAATCACTGAGTCTAAGTGGATATCCTCAATTAACATGTAGATTATTCTAGAAATTATGTTTTGTCATATCATTTACTCTAAGTCAATGTTTCCATCTTCTTACTAGAGTGATTCGCTCAACCTTAAAAAATGAAAATGAGCTTGGACAGCCCTGAGGATAATTTCTGTCATACACTACTTCCAATCTGAGCATTAGAGCATTTGTTATGAGGAGCAAAACCCTAGAAGTTAGTATAGCCACATGGAATAGCAAAGTAAGGAAGAGTTAATAAACATTGTATATTCACAAATTTGAATCATATCTTAGTTAATAGTACTAATAACTGCTGCTGTAAAATAAACTTGAATCTATTTTATAGATAACTTAGTTTATATATAAATGAGTTTAACACCCAGGTTCAATGTGGGATTTTCATTTTCATGGCATAACAACCTTCCATGCATGGAGGGAAAAACCACTCTTACTTCTTCCCTAAAATGTTTTTTGTTCTATAACTGTGATAGAACAAGCTTTAGTGCATGATAGTAAATTAATGAAGAAAATAAAAACTGATATCTACAAAGCCTTTTACAAATATTTAACTAGTGGCTTATCAGAAATAGTTATGAAGCCATCCCAAACAACTGAGATAGTATTCTAATATTCCTCACTGACAGTGTAAATAAGTTCCTAACTTTTCCATGGATTCCAGAAATTAGCATTAATTACCATCACCATATTATGTAGCAAAATACACATATTTTCATATCAAATTAGCATATACTAAGTATTTCCCTTTCAGAGATCTACACTTTAATATTTGTTCAGGCTTTGTTGTAACTTCTGATTCACTCTCATCCTTACTGGGCTGTTGGCTTCTCTAAAATATTTATCAAAGAATTCCATTGTCCATTCTTGGTTTGAAATGTTCTCCAAAACTATGCAAAATGGGGCTGGGAAGGTGGCTCAGTGGTAGAGCGCTTGCCTTGCATGCATGAGGCCCTGGGTTCGATTCCTTAGCACCACATAAGCAAAAAGAAAAAAAGCCAGAAGTGGCGCTGTGGCTTAAGTGGTAGAGTGCTAGCCTTGAGCTGAAGAGCTGAGGGATAGTGCCCAGGCCCAGAGTTCAGGCTCCATGACCAAGACCCCCCAAAAAACCCAAAACTATGCAAAATGTGTCTATAAGGATGCACAACCATATCCCCACTCCACATATTTTTATTGAGCATCTGCAATGCCCCAAATTAGAAAACAGGGACATAGAAGATGCTCTACTCAAATAGCTTTTGTCTAAAGTGGACTAAATAATTATATGTTTTGGTAAATACTATGAATAGAAATTGTAAGAACTACAAGAGTTAATGCAACAGAAGTGATAGAAATTAATCCCAAATAGAATCACAATCCAACCATCTCATCTCATCACAATCTCATCATCTTGATCCAAAATGGTACCATCCTGAAAAACTGATCACTCTCATATCCTTACTAGGTTCTCAGATTTACCATTCTTTTCTCACAGCCTAAGTATATGGGCTTCCTTTTTTTTGTTGTTGTTGGTCATGGGGCTTGAACTCTGGGCTTGGGTGCTGTCTCTGCGCTCTTCAGCTAAAGGTGAGCGCTCTACTGCTTGAGCCACAGCACCACTTCCAGTTTTCTGGTGGTTAATTGGAGATCAGAGTGTCACTGACTCTCCTGTCCAGGCTGGCTTTAAACCGCGATCTTCAGATCTCAGACTCCTGAATAGCCAGGATTACAGGTGTGAGCCATCGGTGCCCATCACAACCTAATCTTTAAGGAAAGTCGGTGTCCAAAAATAGTCACATCCTGTGATGGTTTTTACCTATTTCCCACCAATCTCACTTGCAGAGAAAACTCATTCCTTCCAATATCTCTATGACCCTCTACAGTATGTTCTAGAGGAATTAGTGAGCACATAGCTATGGAGTACAATAGAAAGAAAAGTAAATATATTTTATAAACCTCCCCTTATCCTCTCACCATGCTGACCTACAAGCACACCATGGCTCAGCAGCTGTGACTTGCTACTAGTCACCTTCATAATGGGATGATACACTTCAGTCAGATCTTCCTTCACATGCTACATCAGGAAGGACCATCTGAGGTGAGCTTCTGTCGGGCAGCACCCCTAGTTACTCACCCATCACATTCTATTTACCTTGCATTACTTTCCTCTATTGCATTGACAGACTATAGATTGAGCTTCTTTTTTCACTTGTCATCTAAACTCATAGAAGTGACATCTGGTGCTTACTTAGCCTACAAGGCAGTAAACATCCAATAATCATTTTCTGAGCCATTGATCCCACACTGATGCTGGGCTAGTCTGTGCAAGTTCTATTCCCTAACACTTGGCTGAAGCAGGCATGCATGACACCCCACCCCTATAACTGCTACTGCTCAGGAAACACCCACTATAGTAAAGAAATCTGGGGCCACCATTTCATCACCCCTACTGTGGTACACGATATCCCCCTTTGCCTACTGGAGCTACTTCCTTCCTTCTTCAC